TTTGAAGTTGGGTTCGACTTGGATATAATTTGACGTCACTCCTTTGTTAATGAAGAAGTCTAGTAGATCTGGCAGCTTGTTTGGGTCTGTCGGCCAGTATGTTGGCACACCGGTACTTAGGTAGTTGCAGTTCTGTTGAATTAAGGCCTTTAGAAGATTTCGTCCCTTTGGAGTTGTAAGTCTCGCACCCCATGCTGTTTTTTTGCATTCCAATCACCGCCGATTAGAAATTTATTGCCTTGAGATTGTAGGAAGTCAATGTATTCTTCTGTAGATATGGAGTGTCTCGAGGGACAGTATATTGCGGCAGTTGTAAAGGGCCATGGGCTTGCATTTATTTGAATATTTGCAGCTTGGATTTTGGGTGTTTGGTAATGAGGTAGCTTATGGTGTGGAATTGTGCTTCTAATAATGACAGCTGCTCTGCCGTGCGCTGTATCGTCGGGGTGAGGGATATGGTAGATCTTGTATGATTGGATTTTGAGCATTGTCCTTGTAGAGAAATGGGTTTCTGATATCAATGCTACATCTATTTTGTGTACATTAAGGAAGTTCTCCAATTCTAGTTTATGTTTTAATAGCCCGTTAACATTCCAAAGGGCAAAGCGTATAGATTGGCATTTGGATTTAGCGGAGTTTATTGATGACAGTGCTCAACATGTTTAGTATCATGCTGTTTTTGTTAATTAGTTGACTAAACATTGCTTTGAACTCATTTAAAAACGTAGTTAGTTGTTCGTTGATGTTGACATTTGCTGGTTGTTGATTTTGTGTTACTGCTTGTGAGTATGGCATTCGTTGATTTGGAATCATCTGAATCGGGGGTTGATTGTGGTTTAATTGAGGGAATTGTTTGTTGTCATTTATATTGATGTTTACATTTTGTTGGGTGGTGTTCCGATATTGTTGATGCTCCTTGTGGTTTCTAGCTTTTGTAGTTTTAGATATATATCGCATCCCTTGTAGTTAGCTGGATATGCTCCTCCGCACAGTCCACATGTTGCTGGGGTGTTGGGGTTCTTCCTGCACATAGTCGTGTTATGGTCGCCTCCACATTTTACACACATGAACGGTCTGGTGCAGTAAGTTTTCGTGTGGCCATAGTTCTGACATCTAGTGCACTGGGCAATGATGATCTTTTTCCTTGGGGCTTCAACTGTTATTATGGTATTGCATATGAAGTCTATGTTGTATATGGTTTTATTATTTTCTTTGGGTTCTAGGTCCACAAAATGCATTGAAAGGGGCTTCTTGGTCGCACGATGTCGTATATTTGTCACATTGCGTACTGTATGGCCGTGTTTCACTATTTCCTGTTTGATAGTTTCCACTGGGATTGAGGGATGAAGATTTCGAATGACCCTCCTGTAGGCCCTTGCTTCTCTGAGTTGGTAGGTGTGAAATACAATGTCCTGTTGGAGCAGTTTGATTGGTCTTCGATATGCGTCTGATGTGCTTATATTGACTCTTATTGTACCATTTGATAGTGTCTTGCAATAGTATTGCTCTTCTTTAACTGCTGTTGTAAGATATTCTACCATTTTATTGTAGTTAGTGACGCCGTAGATGAAAATTGGTGGTTGCTTATGGTTGATTGTTATATTTTCAGAGTTTGTTGGCGTTTTGTTAGTACGGTTAGATAGTGTGTCTACTTCTGAGGGCTGGGTGACCTTTTCAAACCTGTTTTGGGTTTTAATTTGGAACGGGACTATCACTTGTGTTACTTCCGTGGTGGTTTATTTCTTTTCCTCTTCTTTAGGACCTGCCAAGGCTGCTTATTTGTTTATTCCATTTCTGTTTCAGGCATTTCTTCGATGTCGTTTTCTGAATCCTCTTCAGTTGGAAGGAATTTACTGGTTGACTGTTGTAGTAGGTGTTGGTTGGTTTGTTGATGTATTTGTGGAATGTTGGTTGAGTGCGTTGGGTAGTTGGTTTATTGAATCGGCATCACATATTGGCTGGATTGCGGTATTTGCTGCACTGGTATTTGATTTTCAGGTTGGTGAATTGTTTGCAGTGATGATTTTTAATCGCCCACCATTTTGAGGCTTCTTGCCCACAAGGTGGTTGCCACTTGTCACTTTGACTGCCCTACCTGGTGCTAACCGCCCAGCCTTTTGAGGCTTCTTTCTCACAAGGTGGTTGCCACTTGTCACTTTGACTGCCCTACCTGGTGCTGCCTCCGTTGAAGTTGTTAGGGTGTGGCTGGTTCCGGCTTGACCAGGCTCCACCCCTTCCTCCTTCCGTTGCTGATTACGGGGGTTGGAATTTCAGGATAGAACCTGATGTTATGGGCGCCAGCAAACAGCTAGGTGCGGTTTGCGATTCATGATGAAGGAGGGAAGGCGTGAGTGGGTGGAAGCTGGCGATGGGTTTGACTAGGTCCTGGCGATGAGTCTCTCCTCAGGTCGGCTAAGGGTCAGGCTCGGACAAGTGAGGGTGAAGCACTTCTAGCCAACACAATGCACTGTACCACTGGAACTCTTTATTGTTTCTCACAGTCACTCGGAGTCTAAATCTACACTATAAGGCCTAGTCTCGGCTTCCAAGCAGCCGGTGTTGCACTTGCTCAAATTACTTAACTTAACACGCAAGCACAATCGCGGGTTTTACCTCCGCCAAGTTCAAAGTTTTGTAGCAGACTCTTAATCTTAAACTGGACTCTGCCGAGCCAGAGGTCCTAACTGAATTGTATCCGCCTCTTCTCCTCCCCCTAATTTCCCGGATAGGTTGATTCAAATAAGAGGAGTTGGCTTAATTTTGGTTCCGGCCAATGACCGATTGTTTTAGAAGTAGTTTCGGCTTAAAA